GACCGAAATACAATCCGTCGCAAAATGGTCGCTAATTCGGTCATAGATCGATCGCACTTCCGTCACTGAGTATTCTATTAATCTAAGTTCTAATGTTGTCACAATTGGTCGTTAATGCGTCGTGATTTTGTGATCAAACAATGGCTGTCCCAAATATCGATCATAATTTTGCGTATTTTTGTAGTGGTGATACATGTTCCTTTACTGTATTATCTTATTTTAATTGTTTTCACTAGATTATAATTTTTCTTATTGCTTACTCGTTTAATAAATTGCTTAGTGCTAAAGAAATGTCCTCCCTAAAGTTACACAACATTAGTATCATGTGTGCGCCACTATCAGTTCTTTCGGCTCTTAATTTCTCTAATAATAGAATATCACAGAGCATTACTAGGCTATCACAATTGAAAATATATGTATTTTAGTTTAAAATAATACCACCATAAATTGGATACATGTAGACTATTTCTATTTCATTTTTCATGTGTATGTTTTTTTCCATCCTTCTTATAACTTATGTTCTCTTTTTTTCTCTTTGCATGTTCAAGTTCTTAATCATTTATTACTAGTGATTGAGGAGTTCCATTTGATGCGAAAAACACCACATAATAACGATTTTACTCTTACCTATGCATATATAACTGGATTTTTCAAAAATTATATTTTAAAATAAAATATAACAAGATAATTATTTTAAGATAGTTATTACTATATCTCCCTATTATAATTTTCCCTCAAGTTTATTACTATAGGAAGATAATTAGTTTAAAAAAGAAACTATATCTCCCTATAGAAATTTTTCCTCAATTTTATTTTAAAATAACATAAAACTCTTCTATAAATTATTTAAATTACTAGATAATTATGACTTCTTTTTGAAATAAAAAAAAATTATGTTTACTAGAAATAAAAGTTATTTCTTCATTTATCTATACTAGTTCTTCTAGATATGTATTGCACGTTGTTGTACTCATTATTTATACTCGTGATTTATTGTTTCATATAAAATTTCTATTTTTTATTTTATAATATCATAAATCATTTATATTACTAAAAATCTAAAATCATAAGAGTATATTGAGAGTAAAAAATTTACAATAGCTATTTGACTAAAATGCTAAAAAAATAAAATTGCTACTTGATTAAAAATATTATTTAAATCCTTTGGTGCCTTCCAACTTAATTTCCTTAGGAGATTTTTTGTGCATTCATGTTATCATACCTTTGATGTTTTAGAATTTTCCATACCCATCACTTTAATGTCTTGCAAATTTCATTTTCTTGCATTTCAATAGTCATTTATGGTTTTAATAGGTCACATACCTGTAAAATATATCTTTATTACTTATTTACTTAATTTTTACTTAATTTGCATAACATTTAGGGCATAAGGCTTTTGTTGCTTCTAGGATGTCACACTTCTTCAACCACGGGTATTCTCCCAAAAATAATGCTAAATTCCTCGAATAATGGACAAATCTCGAAGTCATTGTAGCGAAATAAATTGTCCGAAGAATCAAAGTGGTTAATCAACCATTGCAACAATTCGGGTTGAACCCGAATGCTCGATAATAGCTTAGCACATTGAGTTTGAACAGTGAAAGCAAATCCCATTCCTCAGGGCTAAAATTGCAGAACAGTGCTTCAAATGCAAGTATCAAGGACCGATCCATGAACAATGGAGAAGAAATAAAGAGTTCGGGGAAGTTTTTAAGTAAAGACTTCGTATGGAATGAGAGAAATGACCTTTTGAAGCGTGTAGGTGTCTTATGGGCTTTTATAGCAAGGAATAAAAGGACCATTTGACAGGTGGCTACCACTGCAGCACTACTGGCGCACGCCACTGGTTAGTAGACAAGTGGAAAATGTGTTGATCTGCTACTGTTCAACCTTCAGGCTCAATAAACAATATAAATATCAACTATAAAGCAAAAATACACCAACATCACTCAAGGACATGTAAAGGAATTGGAATTTGCCTTTTATAAATAAAATATAACCGTTTCTTTATAAGAATATTCCCAAATTGGGTCCAAATACAGAAAACAAAAGAAGACGAAAAGAAGAAAATAATAGAAATAAATTGGGGCAGCCAACTCAAGACATGTTGGAAGCCGTCTCCTCCGAGCCATCACTACCGTATTCCTCGGTCTCTTCAACGATGACCGGTCTGCATCCAGCTCTGCGATCAGCACTCTCGCCACGCTGAGTCCCTCAAGCTCGGCCAGCAGGAGGTGCTATGTAGCTCTCTGCATACATACATAAGCATTAGTAAATGCATTTCATACATACGTAGGCATATCTATTGCATGTTTTATTTGTGTTGTTGTACTTACAAATACAGGTTCATCAAATTATAAAATAATAATCAAACTATAATCAACATTAAACATTTGTAATGAAAAAATCATAACATAATCAAACCATAATAATCACAATCACACAAACCATAATTTTCCATCTTCAAATCATAACCAAACCATAGCAAATTACAAAGTTCTAATTAAGTATTAACATATATAATAGAAATAAAAAATATGAATATTTAAAAATTATATTTTTAATTGCTAAAAAAAAATACATGTCATCTTCAAAAAAATTAATTTTGATTTGGAATTTTTTAATTTTACAAGCAAAAGAAAAAATAAAGGAGAGTGAGTCATGTGAAGAAATTTAAAAAAATTAATTTTTTCAATTTTTCGGGTCAGGTCGGGTTAAACAAGGTGTTTAACCGATCCACCCGATCCGAATAGGAGATATACATTCCTCAAATTGTCTAACCCGACTCGACCCGAAAAATCCATTATAACCTATATTTTTTGCCAGGTCGGATCGGGTTTTTCGGGTCGGTTCAGTTTTTGCACAGCCTTACAAATAAGATCATATCAAACATAAATAGCAAACGCAAAAGAACTGTACAATATACCTACTTGCTTGGAGTTAATGGGTGAGCATGAGGGCCTATGGCCAAAACCAATGGTCTATGTTGTACTTAGTTAGGAGTTCTGATTTAAGCTCTCCCCAAGAAGGAGAATCTATACTCATTCCTAAACTTAAGGCAGCTAAAACTTCGAGTTGAAATGGTTTGGATTGTTTTTTCAGTTTGCCTGTAAAATCAACCTAAAAAGTACATGTAAAACCAATCGAATCGGTTCAATTTTTATACTCTTTTCGATTTGAGCCAAATGAACTGAAAATTCAATTTAGTTTGATTCAATTCGGTTTAGGCTTTCAATTAAATTGATTGTGTGGCTACCTTAATTTCCATTCAAAAGTTTTCTCTCATTTTATGAAGTAAAATCACTTGATTAAAATTTATGAAGATTTCTTTACAATGTGATATATAATCATTTTCTTACTTGGTCAAATATGTAAAGCACTATTATAGATTATTCATAAATTTTATGAAATATAAAATATAATTTAATAGTTTTATTTGAATCTCATGTGGTGTAAATAAATTTTATATCTTTCTTATAAATTCTTTGTATTTAGTATAAGCTAAAGTTCACTGCACTTCAGGTTTTTATTTTATTAAATTGATTATATTTTAACAAAAAAAAAGATTTCTAAAATTAATAAAATGTATAAATAAATTTTAAACTTAAAAGTGTGTATAAATTATTTTAAGTATAAATTACCTAAGCTCAAGTAGATTTAACTTGATTAATAAATATAACTTTTTTTTTTCTATGCACTTATATAAAAATAATTTTAGCCCTAATAAAATTCCTACTCTAAAACTATTGCTTCACTTTCTTTTATGAGGTGTATATATATATCCTTTAATGGTGATTAAATTTTTCCATTTTGAATATTGGTGATACAAGTATTAATTTAGAATAGAGAGTAAAGATATCAAACTTAATTTAAGATTGCATAAATGCTAAGAGAAAAGATAAAATGTTTTGCCATATCAGAAAAAATGTATTATGCTTAAATAACTACACAAAATAAAGTGTAAATATGTAATTAATAGAAAATTTTGTTTTAAAAAGTAAATCATGAATACATAAATGATACAACCAATATGAAATGCATGTATTTAAAGTGTTATTTTAAAAGGAAAAGCAGACACATCATTTATGTTCAAGTCATGTGATTCTCACGTAATTTGCTCGATGAAAATACTATTTTTGTCCAAATTGAAAAAGGAAATATTTATGTTCACTCTCAAAAGAATATCAGACTTGATAACAACATTAAATATTAAAACAGTACACATAGAATTATAAATATTAAACTAATTAGTAACAAAAGTAATAACCTAAATCTAATCAAAGTACTAAATAGGTAGCTACATACTCTAAGAAAATTAGACTAAAATCTAAGAAATACTTCAAAAACAAAAAAAGAAAATAAAATTAAACTAGATGAATCATCTGTTCCAATATCCGCTATATGTTCACAACAACACAATTGAAAACAAAATATAAAATAGTGAAAAGTTTTGAAATACTTTTTGTGGTAAAATTTTGAAATAGAAACTTTACCATCATTTGCTATATTAATAAATAAATCAAACAAACTATAGGACAAACAACAACTAAATAGGATCCATTATATGAATATTTTGTCTCCATTCTACTGTTAACTTCTTAGCTAAATCCATGTCTAGTACCTAATCATTCGCTACAACTTCCCTCCACATGGTTCTAGGTCTATCATATACTAAATGGTTTAAGTCTATAAAATATAATTTATCTATTAAAAAAAGAAAAATTAAAAAAGATAAAACACGAATTTAAACTTTAAGATCTACTTTATGACCTAATAATTTAAAGGGACACATAAGAAATAATTCATTTGATCAGACACACTTGAATTTAGCAAACCATATCCATGAAGAGTTCAATATGTGAAAAAACATTTATAAAGTTGAGCAGCTACAAACCCTAAAACAAACCCTAAAATAAGATTAAAGAAAGATGATAAAATGCCCATACTTGATCTTACAGAAAATTGAACATGTATATGCATATTAATGGTGTTCTAAAATAGGTAGAAATTAGAATTTGATTAAAAGTCAATTAAAATAATCTAGAAAGATTAATATACACATGGCATTTCAATTCAGATTATGCCATGGCTGAGGTCAATGGCATTTCACTTTCTTGTGTAGCAATAGATAAATCATTGCTAGAAAGACTAGATGATGATCTCTTCACATTTGTAATTTTTTCGTTATCGTCGTCATCGTCATCCTCCGCTCCCACAACCACTGCCCCACCAAATTGAACACGCTTCCCATCTCCTCCGGTGGACTCCAACGGAGTTTCAAGGTTTCTAGGCTCATTGGATGCCGCATTTGGATGAGATAGGCCGCCATTGCCACCGCCACCACCTCCGCCAATAATAAACCTAAATCCAAGGGCTCGAGAAATAATACGGTATAAACAAGTGAAACACCAAAATAACCAAGGTAGACTAACTAGGGATACACCAGCGAAAGGAAGCCAAGCAGTAGCAGAACTTTGAGGAAGGACAAGATACAAAATGAGGAAGGTGCCACCAGTAAGAACAGAGATAAATAAGAAACAAGAGATGAGCCATATAAATAAACGCCCAGAACTGGGATCTGATACAGGCATTTGTGCATGAAAAGAACAAATAAAACAATAAAGAAAGATAATATCAAAGAAATATTAGTGACGCTAAGAAATCGTCTTTGTCATCGTCCATTTTCGTTCATTGAGATGGTTTTTTTGCTTGGAAAGAAGTCTGCGTAATGGGATTTTCACAGGATGGACATTTTCAAAGTCTGTTTACGTAAAAGATGCAAATTTCATTTTTCCTTGAAACAAAATGCACAACAAGAACAAGAGAGGGAGAGAAAAGTGCGTTGGATTCGTTGTTACACGTCTGATATATATTTCTCAAACGATCATTAAATTTGCAAGGTTTATTTATAAATAGGTATGACAATTTTGTTTGCTTGTTTAATATTTTAAAATTAATTTTTTAATAATCTGATTATATTTTTTTTACAATAAGAAGTTGGGAGAATTCAATCCCTCTAAAAAGTTTTTATTGTTAAGATAAAAACCCAACCAAATTAATTGTTGCATATAACTGAATTGAATTACGGATTTATCCAATCGGTTCAGTTTAATTTTTAGTTATTTTTAAATGGATTTCAACTTATGTATAAAATGAATTCAAAACATGTTTGGTATGTTAATTTAAAACATGTAATTCAATTGAATTCCATGTAATCATATATGAAATAAATTCATAATTGAAATTCATTTGCTTTTGTTTTCTAAAATATCTTTAAAATAGTAATATCACAAAAATAAATAATAAATACAAATTATATTTATGTTATGCTTTATAATTTTTTTTATATTTTTATTAAAATACCTCTAAAAAAGTTTTTATTGTTAAGAATAAAACCCACACAATTAATGTAAGTTGCAACTATAACTATGAATTGCAATTACGATTTATTCCATCGAGTTCAGTTTAATTTAGTTTTTTTACAAGTGGATTTCAAACTTATGTAATAATGAATTCAAAACATGTTTGGTATGTTATTTAAAAACACTGTATTCATTGATCCTGTAATCATATTAATATCATATTGAAATCATCTATGCCCTTTTGTTCATTTCTAAATACTTTAATAGTAATATCTCCAAAACATCAATATAAATACAGAATTATTAATTCATGTTAGTGCTTTATATTATTTTTTTATATTTTTTATTAAAATAAATATTATGATATAAATAAGAATAATATTTAATAGAAAATTTATTAGCATAAATAAAAATAATATTAATAAAATTATTGCATTTAATTGGAAGATAAATATATATATTTAACTTGAATCTTTCTGTCCCTTAATGGTAAAAAACGTGCTAAAAAATATTAAAATAAAAAATAATAAGAAAAATTTTTTCGAAAAAAGATAAAATTTTTAAATGATTTTGGTCAAAGTTGATAAAATAAATAAATTAAATAAGTAAAATAATTGAAAATTTCACTTTGTAGAATAAGAAGGATAGTTTTGTCATAAAAAGTTGGGTTACTTAGTTTTGTAGAATTCATTTGAAAATTCCACCAATTTTTGTGGGATTTGGTGTAATTATGTCAAATTACATAGAATTGAATTTTTTTTATTCCAAATACAAAAATGTGAATTTCTAAATAAAATTTTATAGAATTCATTTATTCCAAACAAGGGTCAGAAAAAACCTAATTGTTGCACTTTTTCTGTGAAGACCAAAACCAAAAGAAACATATTAAAAATCAAATTGAATCTATTCAAACCCATTTTGTGAAACCATTTCCATCCCTGATTGGCATACAAATTAAATTATGGCATACAAAAAACTAAAAAATTTATGACGTAATAACTAAATTAATATTAAAGGAATATTAAAATGTTTAAAAATAACAAAAAAAAAAAAAAAAAAAAAAAAAAAAAAGCTTCACATTAGATGGGAAGTCTTATGTATGATAACTAATGGATAAATAAAATATTGTAAAAAACACTTTCATATCATTGTTCTCAATCAATTGGTAAAAAATATCCCTTTAATGCCCTTTCCTACCTCCCGAACCATTTTATCCCTAAAAGGAATCTTATTCAATAGATGTTAAAATATTTGATACTATTTCAAATCAAAGAAATAGTTCTTCCCTATTGATCCCAACAAACAAATGGAAAAAAAAAGAAATGCATATGAAAAAAAAAAAAAAAAAAAAAAAAAAAAAAAAAAAAAAAAAAAAAAAAAAAAAAGAAGAAGAAGAAAGCAAATGATATTGATCCATATATAGTATCAATAAATGAAAAGTTATGAAATAAGAAAAAAAAACACCAATGAGGAGGGAAAATAGAAAGTTCAAGTTTATTTCTTAAGATAAAAAATCTAACTCTTTCAATTATTAATTAAACTATAATAAATAAAACATAATGAAAGTGGAAGATAGAAAGTTTGAGTAACTTTGTAAAACTAAATTATTAAGAGTTGTTTTATTATAAGAGCTTACTATCCAAAACAACTAAAAACTATTGAAAATTTAAATATTAATAACATTAAAGCATAATAACTAAAAAAATATTAGAAAAATAAAATGAACTTTAAAAACTATAAATAATATTTTATTAAAACTTACTATCCATAAAAACTCAAAAAAAAAAAATTAAAAGTAAAATATCAAAACTAAGTTAAAGTTTACCTCTTAAGATCATAAATCTAACCCCTTTAATTTTTTAATTAAAGTACAATAACTAAAATATAATGAAAGTGGAAGAAAGAAGCTAGAAGTTAGTACAATTAAAAAAAAAAAAAAACTTAATATATTAAGATTTCTTTTTTTTTTTTAAGAGGAAATCAAACTGAAAATTTTATTAAGAAGAAAACATATATGGATATGGAATATAGATCAATATATTTCTATATTTTTATATAGAAAGTCTAATAATAAACCACTTATATAAATAATAATAAAAAAAACAATCTTAATTTTAAGTATTTGATTAATTTGATAGAGTATAATACATATATCATAGGCAATAACTTACTCTATTAAAGTCTATTGTAGTCTTTCTACAAGTTTGACTTGATGCTCTTTAAATTTCTTTCTTTTATCAGAAATTGTCAAAACGAGTATATCTAAGAATAAACTCCTAATCTAAGGGCAACAACAATATCAATCTATGGGCAATAATAACTTAAATCTATATCAAAAGACACAAATTTAAAAATTATTAAAAATATATATATATAAAGGACAAAGAGTGACCATAGTGAATTCTCACGATGGCCACCCATAAAAGAAGAAAAGATTGTTTTTAGGTTTTTGAGAGAGAGGGAGGGACGGCTTGCAATTATTAAGATTCTTTTATTTGTTAGAGCATATTTTCTATAAAAGCTAAAATAATATTTTAATTATAAAATTCATATATAATAACAAAAAAAATAAAAATACAAAAATAGTAAATGAACTTTAAAAATTGAAAAATTACTAATAGAGAAATTAAAAGGTCATATAAATATTTCAATTATATTAAAAACAACAAAAAAAAAAAAGGTCATATAAATATTTTCAATTATATTAAAAACAACAAAAAAAGTAAAAATTAATTAACATAATAACTAAATCTAAATAAATAACAAAATTTTACAATAAAACTAAAATATATTAGAGAAAAAAAATCTAACAAATACAAAAAAAAAAAAAAAAATTTTTTTTTTTTTTTTTTTAAAGTGCAAACTTATTGGGTATAAAAGAATGATTATCAAATAAGATGGTGAATAAATAGGAGAAATTAAAGTATGTGATTCTTGAAAAGTAAATTAAGTAATAAATGTTAAAAAAAAAAAAAAAAATTTTTTTTTTTTTTTTAAAAGTGCAAACTTATTGGTATAAAGATGATTATCATAGATGGTGAAATAAATAGGAGAAATTAAAGTATGTGATTCTTGAAAAGTAAATTAAGTAATAAATGTTACTCCAACAATTTATTTGGTCACATCTTTAACAAGTTTTTACTCACTATTTTGTCTTCTCTTCCAATTTCAAATAAAAGAAAAGATTCAAAATAAATAGAATTTGAACGAACATTAAAAGTATAGACACACCCTCAACCAGATTTAGGAATTTTAAGAATTGCTACGTCCATCTCCAAATCCCCTTGAATGGAAATTCCAATTCCTTCTTTTAAGCAAATTCAAAGGGCAAGTATTTTAGACACGCCATAATCCAAGCATTGATTAAAATTTAGATATTTCCAAATCAAATTATCACTTAAAACTCAAAAATCTAATTATATCTCATGATTGAGGAACTGGGTCAATCATAAATATAGAAACTTTGGACTCAACTGAACCAAATCAGAGAGAGACAGAGACCAACAAAGTCCATTTGGAGACCAAACTTTCTTTCCTGCAAAACAAAAATCAAGATTAAACAATTGGGTTAGAATCAAAATGAAATCTTTTGGTCCAGATTCTTAGAAAAGACCACATAAAAGCCGAAGAAAAGAAATATTAACTAACCTCTTATCCAGAGATGACAGTTGAGAAGTTCAATTTGGAAAACAAAATAAAGCTCCCAACTATAAGCAGGCCAAGCAAAGAATCTGAACAGAAAATCAAGAAATGCAGAGATTTCTCTTCTAAATGGAGGTAGAAGTAGAAACTGTTGACTTAGTTCAGGAAGGTTTGACTTTCAGGTCTCCCGTGTGCAAAGTGCAATATACCATTTATAATTATAAAATGCTTCCCCCTTCAACTCAGTGTTCATAAATTACTTGAATTTGCAGTGATGAATACAATTCTAATGGCATTTAAATACTACCGTGAGATAATTATTATATATAGATAAAGTTTAACAATTTTAATAACTCAATATGGATAATTTATAGGAAATATTAATTAAAATATTTAAATTGTCCAATCACAGCACAGAAAAATAAACAAAAAAAATTTCTAAAAAACCCAAAAAAATAGAATGTTTAGCAATCTATTCTTCAACTTGAAGACAATTTCTGCACATAATCTTATTAATCATTTTAGAATCAGATCTATTTTCGTAATAACTGATTATATCATTGACCATTGACACTTCATTGATACAAATGGATTTAAGTTTGTGAATGAATTTCGTGATAATTATTTTGTTCGTTGGCAAGTAAAAATTGTGACAGTAACAGTAAAAAGTATTAGCTTTTAAAACAACTTGAAACCAGTTGTTTAATAACTTAATATGGATATATGATGTAGACAATGGATTTTAATCCAACACTAAAAGTACTAGTTAGTGCAACTCGTATCAAATCATCCTTGCAATACATTCGAGCAGCCAGCCATACACAAATTTTTTCATTTTCAATTGAACCGTGAAAGAGACCTTCTTTCTGTATTTCATGATATACATAATTGAACCATGCAATATAGCGGCAATCGGAAAATAAATGCAATTGATCACAAGAAATATAAGCAATTTGAAAAACATATACATTGCCCAAACTACAAAGGAAAGTCCAATTTTATCTCTAATTGTTAAAAGCGGCCAAACTGCCTAAACAAGTTTCTCTAACACTTGCTTCTTGTAGCCCACAGAATCAGAACTGACAGAAAAAACCAAAGAGGGTCCAGAAAAAGTCAGTTCAACCAAAACTACTTGTTGAAATACCAATTCAGTTATCAGCAGGGCTGAAGATTATATTCTAAAAATAAATAAATAAATGTTGTTCTACTCGCACCTGAGCTACTATGATACCGTACTCGACAGGATTAACATAATTCCCTAGTTAACAATCAGGGAATATAAGCTGTGGCACATTAGGAACATATCATGAGCTGATAGTCTCCGTCAAAGGAGAGTTGGACATTGAATTTGTATCTTTCACAACGGAATTCAATATTTTTTGCCTTCTTTGTTCCTGGGCTTTCCTTCTATTGGCTTCAAGGATTATAAGAAGGGCAGTGACGTCAGCAGGGCTCACCCCACCCACTCTGCTTGCTTGACCAATAGTCTGGGGTCTAACCTGAAAATCAGGTAACCCAGAATCATTGGAAGAATTAGAAAGAAACGTATTCGACATTACTCTACTGATGGAAAGATTTAGCCAGATAAATATGAAACAGAATTGGCATCAAACAAGCATCTATAGAAATATAATAGTTTCAGCCATTACTCTATTAATCTAATTTGAAGCAAGAAGCTTCTGAAAAAGGGTAATAAACACTGCAATTTGTTTGGCATCCAGTGGCTTCGTAGTTAAGGGGACGTATAGCTGAACAGTAAAATCAAAGTTTAGCATCTGAATGCTGCCTTCCAAATTTGGCCAGATATGATATAAAAATGCAACCGGAAACAAATGGGTATTGACACACTAACTAGTTCCTTTGGATCAGATGAAAACAATTCATAGTCCCAAGGGAAATGCAATAATTCTGGACTTTGATCTACCTTGAATTATTCTTTGGACATACAGAAAAATTCTGTCAAAATGACCATAAAATTATTTCTGCTACAAACCTTGGAGAGTTTCTCACGTGCTTCAAGGGACAAAGTTGTCATTGCATAGTAATCCAAGTCTTGTGGAAGTGGTCTATTTTGCTGATGAGCCATCTACACGTAGACAAGCACACAGTTGATCACATAAACATAACTGACTATAATAATCCGTGTTCCAAAATAAATAAATAATAAATCATTCTGAATTCTTTTTGAGACTGTTTCCTTCCCCAAGCCCACACAATTATAGGACAGCTTTCAGGAATGATTATTAGTTTTGTAGCCTTCTTGAGTACAAGGGATTTAAACTCTGTAAACACAGGCAAATTCTGATTTCAATTTTAGAAAGTAAACCCAGCACCACCTGCTAAAACAGAATAAAATACTTGCGTCCACTTATAGATGGAGTGCTCATCAGACCACTCGCATCCGTGTATTAATATCCCAGAGGCGCTCTAGGCTTCCTTTGTAGGAAAAAGCAACTTCTGTTGCTTCCCAAACTAACAAACTTTCACACACGTCACTGCATCATCAATGATAGCAAGTCTTCAAATAGCCCTTTGCTATGAAGCAAGCATAATTTTAGTGACCCAGACTTCGGTGTAATATTGAGGATTCATTTGCTGAACTAACTAGAAGCAAATAGAAAGAAGCTTAAAGAAAAGGCTGAAGCTGGAATCTTTTTGGGTTATTGCAACAGTTCAGAATGTTATGAAGTGTTCAATATGAAGGCTGAAAAGGTTCTAGTCAGCAGAAATGTCAAGTTATATGGTGACGTTTGGAATTGGTAAAAGGAGGAGATTGAAGTTGTGAAGAAGATTAAAATTGAAAGGAATGCACCCCAAGATGCAGCTCCAGCAGAGTCAAACAAAGACTCTGACATTGAAATTCCAGTTAGAGGAACCAGATTGTTGACTGATGTGTATGAAAAATGAGATGCAGCAAGTCTAGAACCTACCAACCATGTGTAAGCTTCAAATTCACATGGTTAGATAGCTGCAATGAGAGAAGCTAACCGTGATTGAGAAGACTAGAACATGGCGACTAGTTGACAAATGATAGAGATTAGAACGCAAAAACAGTAAAGAGAAACAGAATTGATTGAAGGGCAGAATTTGGAGTAGTAGTATTAGATGAAGAAAGTTGAAGATAACAATGGAGAGTGACAAAAATGACTGTAAAACAGCCCCCAGGACTTGAGCCCGAAGCAGATACTCTGCTCAATACAACAAGATAAAATGGAGAGTGACAAAAAATGAACTGTAAAACAGCCCCTCAGGACTTGAGCCGAAAAGCAGATACTCTGCTCAATACAACAAAAAAGAATAAAAGATGCCCTTTACATGATTACTGCTAACATATATATATAGAATCATTCCTAACAAACATGCTAAGCTGTCTCAATCCCTTCCTTGCTGCACACCGCTCCCCTTCATTGCTGATTTATTCCTTCTATAATAAACCAAAAACGGTTTTGCACCTGATGACGTGGCATTCCTATCATTACCGCCCCCTTCTGAAAAAGCCTTGTCCTCAAGGCTGAAATTCGGAAATTGTGCCTTCAGGTCAGACTCGTTTATCCAAGTTGCATCTGTTTCGCTTTGCCCCTGCCACTCAATTAATACCTGAGGTATTGGGCCTGAAGTCCTCGAAGGTATGGGGCCTGGAAGTGGCCAGGCAGAGGATCATGCTGGCACAACCATTGATATGGCTCAACCAATGTTCTGCTCTATGTCAGAGATCCATCCGCAACTGTGCAATGACTGGGATGGTTGCCAATTTTACCCTCTTAGCTGAGACACATGGAATTACAGGCGTGTATTTTGGATCCCAAAGGCAGTTTGGAGCTTATAAGCAACAGCCCCACCTTCTTGAGTACTTCCAAAGGGTCCGTAGAATCTAGCAGCCAGCTTCGTCCTCATTGAACCTCATATTGGCGGACAGATGCCTCCTATGTGGCCCCTGAGTTTAAGGGGAAGCCCTTTCCCCAAACTGAGAAACTGAACATCACGCACGTTTGGGGTTGCATTATTTTGGTCCATCCAGCTGCTGAGCTCTATGTAGATTGTAGCAAGGAGCTGCTGAAGTATTCTTATCCCTATCTTGGAAGGTGCTGGGAAAGAAAGCTTCAACACGAGTTTCACCCGTAGAACCGCTGGAAGGGGTGGGGGGCCTGCCATAGACTAGTTTCAAATGCGGTTTTCTTAGCCAGCTCCCTTGATAATTGGTGTATATAACCAATATTCTTGCCCAGCAAAGCCAACGTTAGCCCATTGACTTCGGATTGCTCGCAGACGAGAAAAACACCTGAAGGTTAAGGATTCCAAAGCTTCGGTTAGCACCTCTGTTGACCAATTCACTTGGGTGTTGAGCAAGCTTTGCTGAGGGACAGGAGTACCTTGCAAGTTGCCGAAGAGTTCAGGGTCCAAAAGTTAGCTTAGAACAACTGGGTCGCTGGTCACTGACAATATTTACCGGAAAAACACGCCATGGAGTCTCACAATCTCCCTCATAAACAGAGTTGGCCTACCAGGATGCAAGCTGTAAAAGGGGTGTCGAAGCCGAAAGAAAGTAGCATATTTTTTGACAATCTATCAAATTCCACCCACTAAAAGATGCCAGTCTCACCCCTTGGGACTTTGGAAAGGCCTTGATTGAAATCAAGAGCTATGTCCTCCCATATTTGGCTTGGAACTGGAAGTGGCATAAAGTGTAACAGGACCCGCCTGGTTTTTTTGACTAGCCTCATATTTTGTGTGTCTTTGACAGATCCAAGCAAGCAGCGACAAAAACTTCTTTATGCGTTGCCCATCATACCCGTGCCAATAGAATTGGAGGCAACCCTTTTGTAAAAATTGGAGGCAACCCTTTTGTAAGATCTATAAGCTCCTGAATGTCCGCCTAACGGAGTAAAATGAAACTCTTCTATGATCTTGGGTATCCACTTAGAGGAGGGAGGTAGCACCAATTGTCCCTTATAGAACAAATTCCCATGGATGAGAGAATAGTGAGCTTTAGATGGTTTACCCGAAGAGATTTCTGAGATAATCTTGGAGAGAGTGGAATCTTGTTGGATTTCCTTAGAGATCGCATCCCAATCTACCCTTTGTGGACCCGAGAAGGCTTGAAATTCAACCTCATCATGACAGCGAGACAAGGCATCAGCTGCCCTATTTGTTTTTCCAGTCTTGTATTCAATATTGAAATTGTATCCCATGAGTTTGGCTGACTAATGTTGTTGGGCTGGTGTGGACTCATTTTGTTGAAGAAGGTGCCTAAGGCTCTTTTGATCAGTCCTCACTGTAAAACACCTCCCAATTAGGAATGGCCTCCAATGCCGGATTGCTAGAACAAGGGCCGTCAACTCATTTTCATAAGCAGACCTGGACATGGCTGGGTCTCCGGTAGCCTTGCGGAAATAAGCAAGAGGCCTGTTATCTTGAAGGAGGACAGCCCCAATCCCAAACTTAGAAGCGTCGGTTTCGACTATAAAGGGCTTAGAGAAATCTAGCATTGCCAGTACAGGGGAAGTAGTCATGGCATGCTTGAGAGCGATGAATGCGTCTTGAGCATCTTGTGGACATGCGAATTTGGCTTGGGCTTCCTTCTTGAGAAGAGTGGTGAGAGGGCTAGCTAGTTGTCCATAATTGGCGATAAAGCGCCTATAATACCCTGTAATACCCAGAAATCCTCGCACCGCCTTGGTAGACTTTGGAATGGGCCACTGTAGTATACTTGAGACTTTGGAAGGATCCATAGCAACTCCATCCTTAGAGATAATATGCCCCAGGTATTCAACTGATTTCCGACCAAAGAAACATTTCTTTTGATTGAGCTGAAGTTTGTTATCACAAAGCAGCTGGGGCACAAGCTTTAGGTGCTTCAAGTGAGAATCCCAAATGTTACTATACACCAAAATATCGTCGAAGAAGACTAGGACAAATTTCCAGAGATAGGGGCGAAAGAGATCGTTCATTACCGCTTGAAATGTGGCTGGTGCATTGGTTAACCCAAACGACATGACAACAAATTCGTAATAGCCCGAGTATGCCCGGAAAGCTGTCTTGGGAGTATCAGTTTCAGCCACCCTAATTTGATAAAACCCGGACTTAAGGTCTAGTTTAGAGAAGACCTGAGAACCATGCAATTCGTCCAACAGTTCCTGGATAACCGGAATGGGATACTTGTGAGGAATTGTAGATCGGTTTAGTTGCCTATAGTCAACGCAGAACCGCCAGCTGTCATCCTTTTCCTTGACTAGGAGGACAGGACTAGAATATGGGCTAGAGCTGGGTTTGATAATTTCAGCTGAAAGCATATCATGCACCAACCTCTCGATCTCATCTTTCTGAATGTGGCCATACCTATAAGGTTTCACAGATATTGGTCCCTGACCTGGCTGAAGGGCGATCCTATGATCAATGGAATGACGAGGAGGGAGGCCATAGATTTCCTAAAAAACAGAAGCATGAGGCGCAAGAAGTTCCTGTAATTGTTGGCTCTCAGAATCAGAGTTCTCGACAGTGGAGACACATGACATTGGAGGAGGATATGATCAATGGAATGACGGGAGGAGGAGGAGGCATAGATTTCCTAATAAAACAGAAAGCAATGACGAGGAGGGAGGCCATAGATTTCCTAAAAAACAGAAGCATGAGGCGCAAGAAGTTCCTGTAATTGTTGGCTCTCAGAATCAGAGTTCTCGACAGTGGAGACACATGACATTGGAGGAGGATCTATGGACAATTCCAGTAGGACTACAGAGAAAGAACACATCTGTGACCTTAGAGAATGATTTGGCTGAAATCGCTCCCCGGGTTAGAGATGGTTCACCACATAATTCCACCAACAGATTTTGATGTAGGAACTTCATAGTAAGCCGCTGCCAATTCACCTGCACATCACCAAGACCTACCAGATGATCGCAACGTGGGTTTCTGAGTATATGGTGACTGCAATTCTTGTTCAACCTCCAGCGCAACTCTCATCGCGCGATGCAGTTCCTTAGAATCAGAGGAACATATTCTAACTCGGATTTCTTCTTTTAACCCATTTAGAAAATACCCCAAGAGTTGAAAATCTATGAGGTCTGGAGTTTGTGCGGCTTGGGTAATGAATTCATCAATGAAGGTGGACACCAAGTTCAATTGTTTTGTGGCAGCAAGCAGCTCGTAGGGATTATCCGAATCCGAACCACTATATTTGATGAGGAGTTCTGTTTTGAGTTGGGTCCATGTGAGGTTTCTGTTTTGAGTTGGGTCCATGTGAGGTTAGGAGTGCGGCCTCTAAGCCATCATAACCAGTGGAGAGGATGGACCTTCATACCCACGAGAGCCATGGCAACAAACCGGTCCGAAGGGGTGTTTTGTAACTCAAAATATTGCTCAGATCTTGCAAGCCAGCCTGATGGGTCAGTTCCGGTGAAAATGGGCATTTCGAGTTTTTGAATGTATTTATGGGTTGAAGATGATGAGTGCAGGTGAAGGTCTGGGGTGGTGAGTGGGGGATGGGAATTGTTGGTAGCAGATTGGTCTGGGTTTTGTGGGTTGGATGGTGAAGGAGGAGGATGTGTGTCAGATGAAGAAGCAGGGGATTTACCTATGAGAAGAAGGTGTTTAAGCTCTTGGAGACCTTGTTGAAGCTCCAAAAGCTGGCGAGAATTATCAAGTCTGATAGAAGCAATAGAGTCTTCAATGGAGGCTACGTTCTTCCCTAGAGTTTCCACCCTTTGATCCATTCTGGTCTTGGGCATTCAGAAAAATCCAAAGCAGGTCGGACCAAATGATAGAGATTAGAAGGCAAAAACAGTAAGGAGAAACAGAATTGATTGAAGGGCAGAATTTGGAGTAGTAGTATTAGATGAAGAAAGTTGAAGATAACAATGGAGAGTGACAAAAATGACTGTAAAACATGGAGAGTGACAAAAATGACTGTAAAAAAGCCCCCAGGAACTCGAGCCGAAGCAGATTACTCTGCTCAATACAACAAAAAGAGAATAAAAGATGTGCCCTTTTACATGATTACTGCTAACCATATCATATTATAGAAATCATCCTAACAAACATGCTGAGCTGGTCTCAATCCCTTCCTTGCTGCCACACCGCTCCCCTTCATTGCTGATTTTATTCCTTCTATAATAAACCAAAAAATGGGTTTTTGCACCTTTTACATGATTACTGCTAACATATATATATAGAATCATTCCTAACAAACATGCTGAGCTGTCTCAATCCCTTCCTTGCTGCACACCGCTCCCCTTCATTGCTGATTTATTCCTTCTATAATAAACCAAAAATGGTTTTGCACCTGATGACGTGGCATTCCTATCAACAAACCTAAAAGTAAGGAGGTGACCGGTATCGACTAGGTTTTTGCGACCAAACATTCAATCAACAAACTCAAAGCAAGGTTAGTAGTCAAGTGTTAATCAAAATTAGACATAGATTTGATTTTACTGATATCTACGCTGCTGTGGTAGGAATAACAAACTTAGACTATTGATTTGCTTAGCAACTCAACAAGGTTGGAAAATTTTAGAACATTATGTCAAATCAGCATTTCTTAATGGTCGCCTTGAAGAAGAGATCTTTGTGGAGGAAACAGAAGGTTTTGTTGCTGTTGAAAAGGAAGAGAGTGTATTTGCTCAAGAAAGCCTTGTATGGCTTAACACAAGATCCAAGAGCTTTGTACAGTAGAACTGACAATTATTTGATGAAGTTGGGATTTAAAAGAAATCAGAATAAGCACACTAGGCGAAGCGAGCTAATGAAGACCCAATAACCATCTCTCTATATGTGAATAATTTATTAGTTACAGGCAGCAATTTCAAATTGTTTAAGAAATTCAAGGGTGATATGCAGCAATTTTTCCGATGACAGACCTAGAAGAAATGTCCTACTTCCTTGGTTTGGATATTCATCAAGATCAACAACATACTTTCATATGCCAAAGAAAGTAACATGAGAAGCCTAGAAGAAATTCTCCATGGAAAGTTGTAAGCCTATCACAACTACAATGTGAAAGTTGAAACAAAGAAGATAGAGCAGCTAACATTCATGTGGGTATTTACAGAATTTATTAGTTGGATGCTTATTTGACGGCAACAAGGCCTGATATTATGTTTGCTACTAAGTCATTGACCAGGATGCAAAATCCTAGTGCACTGCACTTAAAAGAAGCAAAGAGGGTGTTAAGATACATCAACGGGACAGGTAGGCATGGTGTAAGGTTTAAACGAATTAAATATTCAGGTTTAATTGGCTATACACACAGTGATTAGGCCGGTTCATGTGAGGACATGAAGAGTACCTTAGGCTATGCATTCACACTTGGTTCGGAAACTTTCAGTTGCAATGGCCAAAAACCCAGTGTTCCATGGCAGGACCAAGCATGTCAAGGTCAGATACCATTTTAAGAGAAGCAGAAAATGTGAAGAAAGTGAAGGTCATCCATTACAACTCAGAAGACCAACTTGCAGATATCATGACCAATGCCTTGCCCAAAGCAAGGCTAAAACCAAAACTTAAATTGTTTATTTTGTTCAATTGTAATTAGCACATGTGAGCTAATTTCTGTAGTTACGGTTTAGCTTCATATTAGGAGCCGTCTAACCAAATCTATAAATTTGTATAATTATGGTAGTGAATCAGCTCACGTATGGGCTAAAGTAAGGTCTACTACAAAAGGACACAAGTAACCACAGTTCGAATTTCTGTCTATATGCATAAATGAGATGGTAAGAGCTCCATTTCTGCACAAACTTCCAAAAGGTACCAGTAACAGAAAATCAATAATCTAATTTTAGTTTTCTGATCTGCAAAACCCAACACAATCCCTTTATGGGAATCCTCTTCTCATTGCTTTACTCCATGGAAATTTTGTTTTCACAAACATTAATACTAATATGTATCATGTTTCCACACTTAGTGCAAGCAACATCTATACTTTTAGCATTAATGCCATTAGAAGAGGCAGGATTTGAACTACTAAAGCAATTAATTGGTTGCAAAGGGCTCATTTGGCACCCTTATCAATTCTTTCCAGGCTGAAAACTCAACTTTCTTAGAAATTGTTGGGTCTAAGTGTTCCTCCTAATCAATTAAAATGCATATTCAACTATATATGGGGGTTATAAACAATTATTTTTAACATAAGCCCTTAGAATTTCTCAAGCCATGCCCCTCCAATATCTTCCACAATTTGGCTTCAGATATTCAACTCAGAGAAATAATTTACATATTCAGCCAAGACACATTACGCTATTATAAATCACACCTTTTTCACGGCCTTTTTTTAAGGGCATATACTTCTCTTGTAATTAAGCGTTCATCTCTTGCCATGTATTAAATTGATAATCAACCTTTTATTTTCCTATCAAACTCAATATTGTACCACATATTCTAGCTAACCGAATTTCAGCACTGCAAATGATACTCAGTCATAGTACATGACCTGACCGACATTCAAAATCTGAAGTTACAAATTGACTTTCCTAATGATATCTTCATTTGTATCTTAACATTTATGAACCCATATGTTTGCCTTTCAAGAAAGAATGTCTACAATTGCTTCTGGTCAAGACCACAAAGACTACATATAAAATCCACAAATGACATGTAAGGGCGGCAATCTAGCTAGCTAATTAGTTAGTACTAACCTTTTAGCATTTATTGGCCCAACTCTAAATAAGCCCATACCACATATTTCCACCTCATGGGTTCTAACCTTTTATCCAATTCACATCTACCCTTTCAACTTCTAATATAGTATCAAAACAGGTCCGGCCCAGTTAAGATCACTGGTGTTGCCTCTACATTTCAATTCAAGCTCTCACCTGGATGTCCAGTCTCAACTAGGCCCATTAAATTTGAAGGGCAAAAAGCCCAATTCAATTTCAGGGGACGTTTTAGAATCCCTCTTTTTCCCGATCCATTTCCTCCACCACCACGAACCCCAGTTACATTCAGATTTCAAGTGTCAAGTGTCAACCAGATATCCAGTCTCGGTTGCACTTGAGGTGGAGTGTTAAGAATCCCACATTAACTAAATATCAAATCCACAAAAGTCATATAAGGTCAGCAAGCTAGCTAGCTAATTGGTTAGTATTAACCTTTTAGCATTAGTTAGTCCAAGTCCAAGTAAGCCTATTACACATTTTCACCTCATGAGTGCTAACCCCCTACCCAATTCACCTTTACCCTTTCAACTTCTAATACTTCTCTTGTGCTTGCTACCTTCAAGAATGACTATAAAACACCATCTTGACCAACACCATCCATCTTAGCTTCCCTAGAATCCATTTTGATATTCAATCAATCCATTTGTCTTTGTGACTTCATGATCTTCAAAAAATGTGTAAGAACGATTATTCTCGATAGATCTTGGGCTTATATATGAAAGAATAAGGAGAAATGAAGTGTGACAATTAGAGTTGGTAGATAGATCTGAAAAGCAGAATTAAGGACAGAATAAAAGAGTTTCAGCTTTACACCAAACTTCCCAAGGCATCACATCCAAGGTTCCTATAAGCGCCACACGTAGGGTTGATCATGAATATCTATAGAGCTCAATGTAACCATAAACCTGTAAGGCATCAGACAAAATAAACTAGCACCAAAAGGAATATTGTTATCCTAAACCAGTAAAGACTCAAAATAAGACATCAACAAAAGGAAAAGAGAGAGAGAGAGAGAGAGAGAGAGAGAGAGAGAGAGACTCCTAAAGAGATCCAGACAGCATTTCTAGGAAACCTAAAACTCATAAAACACCATTCAGGTTACGCTCTGGCTTCTTGTTTTCAACATTACAAACCTGTTGGAGTTGAAGCTGCTGACGTTTAATGAAGCCTTCATACTTGACATCAATCTCCACACACTCTTTATCCTCTCTAGACAAAAGCTTATTTCCATAACCATGCCTATCAAGAACTTCATATTGGATGTGTGGTTTCTTTAAAAGACTCTCCAGAGTTGAAGAGTCCCGCACAGGCTGTGCAGATAGACGAGTAACATCAGCAGCCAAATCCCCTCCTGAAATTTACACAGGAAGCAGTTGTTTACTTTTCATAAATAAATGCTCAAAACTCAACAAGTAATTCTCTCTATCTCTCATATGTGTTTATGTGCACGTGCATCTCCAGTTAGAAAAATAAATAAATCCCAAAATCCCGCACCCAAAGGCAAACTAAGCAAGAAGAATGCTTTTCTTTTTGATTGTAAAAAAGAGTTAATAAAAAAAATGAGATTTGAAACTGGAATTCAAAGATTGAAAGAATTAGTAGCTCTTGTCTCAAATCCAAGAGAGTTCAGGTGATGCAGAAAATGAATATATACTAAAGGCATATTAATTAGAGAGAAGATTAGAAATTATAAGAAAAATAAGTAAAGGTAAAATATTGAAATATTTATTCACTATTTGCATTAAATATTGATTTGGAACAATAACCAAAGATTACAATAGACATGGTGAATCATAATTACATTAAATATTAGAACAAGGTTTAGAATCATACAGCCTTTTATTTTGTTGGTTGTTACTCTAATGGGTTGTCTATTTGTTGTTGCTGTATTTTCTTCATGTGATGTTTATTTTATTAGCAACACACCTAAAGTAAAGTGAGACATCTTCCAAATAAATTTTATTTGCAAATCTAAGTTCTTCAGTGTTACAAGCATCTCCTCTCTGGATATGCCAGAATGAAAGAATTCAGACCTGATATCCTGACAGTTTTTAGACGCTTTTTCTCCTCAGAAATTCGAGCTTGCTTATCCTCATACAGTTTCCACCGTCTATCATCTATCAACCCAATTTCACGCCCCAAAGGTGTGAGACGACTATCAGCATTATCAGATCGGAGAAGCAACCGATGTTCGGAGCGGCTAGAGAAGACAATTAATGAGATCAAAATTCCATGTGACAGCAAAATTTACAGGCAAAACGTTAATGTATCTTATTTTAAGTCTGAGAAAGATAGTCACATCAACTGCATGTAACACCAACCAAATTATTAACACCATAAAGACTAAGTTGCAAAACAAATTTTGTCCGGAACATCAAATAAGCAGGAAGCTGTCTTTAGCAGCGAATTCACCCTGGTGTCAAAAGTATTAAAATTGCTGTCTATGGGATGCAAAAAGACGAAAATCTTTTCCACAAAAAATCATGAATGTTCTTCACCTTTTAGATAATTGCAAACCAAACAAAAACCTGCCCTTGAGCTGCACCTTAGCTTTCCAAGTTTTATTGGATGTGTGAACCTAAGTGGTCTTCAGAAGGAAAAATAATGTGGGAATAGAAGAATTTACAAGAGAATTTTTCTGAAGGATTCTAACCACCCAATCCTTCTATTGCTCTAGGAAGCAAAATTAACAGAATCCAATAAAACAAACAACAAAGGCTTTGCGTCTCCCGAGTGAAATTTCCAAGAGAAAGTATTGTTTCCGTGAGAAAAACATTGGGAGATAAGCATTATTCAAAGCAGAAATCATACAAAAACAAGGAAATGGTTTAGAGAGGTTCATAACCACACCAATCATCTTCCCAAAAAAGGATCAGATGAGACTCGTCACCAATTTCATATTTGACAAAAAAGAAAGAAAATAGAAATTACCCAAGATGTGATTTCAATGGACTCTCATGGTTAAAACTTACTGCTGCCTAGGATTCCACCTATCCTAATAACCTCAAGTGAAAGGAATCAACCTCGAAACAGCTGTTATTTAAAAACTTACAGACAAGAGCTCACCTAGCCTTGTGCCTCTAGAAGCACGAAACCATTTCTAAGTTTTCCCAAGAATGATGAGCAAAAAAACCAGAAATATTATTCTCAAAAAAGAGAAAAAGAAAAAAAAAATAATAATAATAATAAATAATAATAAAAAAAAGTTTTCCCAAGAATGATGGAGCAAAAAAAACCAGAAATATTATTCTGCAAAAAGAGAAAAAGAAAAAAAAAAATAATAATTAATAATAAATAATAATAAAATAATAATAATAATAAATAATAATAAAAAAAAAAAAGATATTGAACCCCACCAATCGATTTCTTACACCTTGCTCCAAAGACCTATGTTTGATAATAAATAGAATGGGATAATGATTAATTATTTAATTTATAGTTCCAACAATATTTGTACTTTAACTTTTCTATATTACTTACAATTGTTTTTTTTTATTTTATTAGTATTGCTAATAAATTTTTTCAAATTTCCTGTTAGGTTTCCATACTTTAAAGAATGAAAAAGGAAGCAAACTTCAAATTCATAAATTAGTACAAAACTTCAGAAAACAATAAACTAGAAAAGCATAATATTGAAACAGCATGCAAGGATTGGGATATTTTTTTGGTTATTGGGTTGATTAGAGTATGATAGCATCCATTGTGTCGTTTCCTCTTTCATGAATAGCATGCATGACATTCATGCATGTGAAAGTATATTTTAGTTAATTTGGAAATCAATCTATATTCAACTTGATCCAATTAGATTCTTTTTTTATGCATCACCTTTGTTTAGATCTTATGAAGTTATTCGTAAAAAATATATATAACATGTTATTGATTACAATGCTTCCAATACACAAGTACATCACTTATATGAAAAATGATTGTGTGCATATATTAATGAATTGTTAGTACTAAAATTTGTTTTTTCTGATATTATCAATTTTGTTCCCTCTTTCTTAGTTCAATGAATCTAGGCATGACATCATGCTGCTAATTGTGATAACTAAAAAATATTCTTTAAATATAACAATCAAGAACACATACTTAAAAAAAGTCTTACATATTATGTGCGAAATATTACTCGTTATCATGAGAAACAGCTGGAACACACAAACGAGTCTTCAAGTATATGGTTGATTTTTTTTTTTTTTTTTTTTTTTTTTTTTTTAGTTTTGCCTTTTTTTTTTTTTTTTTTTTTTTTAGTTTGCTTTTAATGATAAAACCAATAATGATGCATGCTTTCAAAATTAAGTCTCAATGGTGTTAACTATCATATTTAACAACACAATAAGAAGCTAACATCAACAGAAGTCTTTAAATTCATGAATGAAGGATGATATTCTCTCTCAATCTCAATCTTCATCTCAATGTTTGTGTCTGTGTTGCTGAAATTCCATAGACTGCAATTCATTATTGATGAAGGTATACAATGGAACTGGTAACATAGCTCAAATACAATCTCATATATACAAAAATCTTCGACATGAAATAATAAAAAAAAAAAAAAACCTAAGCATTGTACTGGGCGGATAAGATGTACCCAACTCAAGATAAGGAGAACCAATTATTTCATTTAAAGAAAACAGTGCCACAGCTTGTTGCAATTTGCAAGCATCAATTTAATGCTCATCAAATTTTCTTCACAAACATGCACATTTACAATGACATCAGCAGATCACTACCATAATTAAATACACACAACAAATACCTTGTTAACATACGGTATGGCTCCCGAAGGTCCTTTGTGACCAGATCATCGATTAATGTGCCTATATAACTGCTTTCTCTTTCAAGAACAATGAGAGGCTTGCCATCTGAATGTCTTGCAGCATTTATACCAGAAATAATTCCCTTCAAAATGTGAAGAAAAATAAATGAGAGAAATGCCTAGCCAGTATTCTAGGTGAGCACACATCGGTTAAAACCAAAGAAGCAAACAAAACCGATCTAGTTTGGTTTTTCGGGTTAATTGGTTTAGTTCAGCTTATGATATTAGCTAAACTTCGGTTTCCGTTCCAGTGGTACAAAATAAGGCATTTTTTCCAAAAAACTAAACAGACATTACCAAACTGATCCCGTTCAATTCAGTTCTTTATAAAGTTTAGTTTCAGTTCAATATAATTTGGTTTTTGGTTTTATTGCTTCGGTCCTAACGGACCTGTTGCACACCCCTAGCCAGGACAATGTATCAGAATGACCAGGAAGACCAAAGATGGCAAATAACTGTGAATTGCAACCTCTGCTAACACATATGTGAATTGCAAGTAGTACAATTTAAATGGGCACTCTTTAAAGGATCGAAACCTGTGCTGCAGCCTCTTCATAACCTGTTGTCCCATTTATCTGACCCGAGAAGAAAAGCCCCTCAACCTTCTTTGTCATGAGAGACCTAGAGCATTGATGTGCAGGCAGGAAATCATACTCCACAGCATATGCAGGCCTGAGCATTGAACATTTCTCAAGTCCAGGCAAAGTTCTCAAGAGTGGTAACTGCAGTCGCTCAGGTAAACCAGTTGAAAACCCCTAAGAAGAAAATAAATCATCAATTAGTAACAAAAACTTAAAGGTATTAATTGATGATACAAAAGACATGGATTAAAGTCTGTGTAAACTACTGATAGAAATAGTTATTCAGGCGCGCTTTTCATAGGGTGCAGATACTAGAGCCTTAAACACGCGGGGATAAATCAGGCTAGGGATTAGGCACAAAGGCAAGCGCCTTGCTGCAGGCATGAGGCGCACAAAAGGCGCCCCTCATGTTTTTAATAGCTAAACATAAAAAATATTAGGGTTTTGAGGTGTTTTATATAGTCTTAAGCCATAGGATAAGTATTATTTATCCAACTACATTTTTTTTACTTAAAAAGGGCAAAAAAAAAAAAAAAAAAAAAAAAAAAAAATGAGGCGCAAAAAGGCCGCCCTTCATGTTTTTAGATAGGCTAATACAATAAAAAAATATTAGGGTTTTTTGAGAGATTGTTTTATATAGTCTAGCAGCACACTAGCGAGTAAAGTATTATTTTATCCAATACTACATTTTTCTTTAACATTAATAAAGAGCAATGCAAATATATATTGTAAAGAAAAACCACGCATTCGGAGCAAACTAAGAATAAAAAGAAAAAAAAAAAAAAAAAAAAAAAAAAAAAAAAAAAAAAGAAATATCCTGTGATACAACTCCAGCAGGCAGCAGGTATTTCTCAATCTCTCCTGTTGTTTTTCTTGTTTCTTTTGCTTCTTTTTTTTTCCATGTTTTTGCTTCTTCCCCCTTCCCTATAATTTTTTGTCTCTTCTCTACAATTCAATAGCTTAAAATATAGCCTTCATGCTGCTGAAATTTTGCCAGGATTTTTGAGCTGATTGTTTAATTCTTTGAGATACAATTTTGAATCATTGATCACTTTTTATACTATAAATTAAAAACAAATTGAAATTGTTGGTTTAGTTGATTAAAGTTTAATCAAGTAGCATTTCTGTTGAAATTCAGAGACTGGTATGAGAGAATAATTTTATCTATTTTTTATGTTTCAGTGAGATCATATACATCCTATTTATACACAAGCACCTAATTCTAAATAGGAAAAAACAAATAAGGCAAGAGCAATATACTCCTAAATAGTCTATACAAGGATAATCCAAATCAACTATGAATTTGAATATGAGTTTTAGTTATAAACCTAGGTGCATGCGAAAATTTTTTGGTGAAAACCTACTGTTATGGGGGAATAAGCTCAGGACCTGTCTGGTAAAAGTCCTGAATAGTGAATCTAATGCAAAATTCACATATACCCCTCAGTGACCTGTTGTAAGTTTATATTCCCTCCATACTAAAGATTGTCCACTATTCCAGTTTCGGATGTCTCAAAATAATTGTCCACTTTTACTTATAGTATGCATTTAAAGTTTTTTTTCCTATTTTACCCTTCAATAAATTCTCTTTTATGAATAGTTGCATTTAATTACATCTATAACTTTGGAGCTAATTTATTATGTAAATAAGGGTAGAAAAGGGAAACACACAAGTTATCACTACATCAATTGCATTTTCTTAAAATTTGTAGAAAAATAAATGTGACAATCTTTTTGGGACAGAGGAGTATTAAAATTGAATTTTTAATGTTTATTAAATGGGGCAATTTAAAATTTTATATGTTTTATATTATTAATATCAATTTTTTGTACAATTTTGATATTATTTTATATTCTTTATAATATTTTTTTATTTTTGCACCTCACTTCACTCAGGGGCGTGCCCACCTCGTGCCTTGTGCCTTTAATTACTATCCTGATAGCTTATATAAAATGACAATTTGAGAATGCCAAGTGACAGTAGAGATAATTTCCAATTCCCAACATTCACAACAAATTAAAGAGAGAAATTAATTCTGAAAATGTTATTCAATAGAAAATATGAGAAGCAGACAACCACGAATATGATATCACTACTTTTTTGGGAGCTTTCTAATTTATAGACGACCAACAAGGCTTCATTCTTTTAAAAACAAGGTCCAGAAGTTGCAAAATACTCACAGCCACAGGTAGTCGCATCAATAGTTATTTTGCTCCCCCTAAATTCACCACTAATCCAAAATCTAATGCTTTAACTATCTATAAATTTCCTGTCCTTTAGCTTCCAAATGATCCCAAAACTTGCCCAATAGGACCACTTGGAATCACATAAACAAAGGGATTAATGTCATTTGCAAATGAATTTTAAAATAGAATTACTGCATTTAAAATTGACTTGTGAAGTTTGGGTATCTCATATATTAAAACATTAAGAATTCAATTGAATGCAAATAAATATTATGCTTGAGAAAAATTGAACATTAAATCAATGGCCACTTTCCCACAATAATAATTTTGATAGAACCGTTGTTGAACGCATAAGCAAATTCCATCAATTTTGATAGAACCAATCTCCAGTGTATTTATTTCCAAGGAATTCAAACCATTGAAATTAAAATGAATATTTTTGCAGTGTCAATGTGCTGACGCCAAAAGAAGGCATATAAATTTCCATATTTAATTTATATGGACACAACATGCATTTACTGAATCTTTTTAGCATAAAGTTGACAAGTACGCAATTTGTAGTTGATTCAAATATTCATTCTCTCACAGCTTTAATCTTTTATTTTTCTCATTTTTCAGCAACATATAAGAAAGAGAGGTAAGAGTGCTAGATTCATACCTGCACATATAGCTCAGGCACATTTCGACCCTCTGGTTCAAGAAAAATCTGGTGCGATTCTTTATCTTGAAATCTCACAATCTGTAAAGACAAGATGTAAGACTTGCTATTTGCTTAATAAACACCCTAAACATTATGTGAAAGTAGAAATGCAGCAGCAGCAACTTAGCTTCCCATCATTAATTCTCTTTTGCACAAATCACAGAAGATTTTGACAAATTAACAGTGAAAAAATTATTAAATGCCAAACATATGAATGGCGCTTTCTATACCAAAAGACAGCCAGCCAGTGTTACCTCTAACAATAGTACATTGCAATTAGGATAACCAAACTCCATAAACTAAAAATGGGAAGAAATAAAACATGGTTGAATAAATAAATTCGCCTCTGAACTCTGTTACTTTACCCTTACAGCATCTCAACTTTTATTTTAATCAATCATACACTTCAACTTATAAAATTACACCTATTAAACACTTCAACTTGCAAAATCATTTCATTAGACATTTCAACTTATAGAATTAAATCAATTAAACCACTACTATACAATTGAAAGATGAAAAATTATTGTTTCAAAAGGTATGCTAACTACACATCAAATCAATATTTTGCATATGAAAGTCAAATACCCCAAAAACTGTTGTTGTCAGGGTGGAAGGTTTGCAATGTCACCAAAGTTTGCAAGCTCAAATGCTTGATAGGTCATTCACAAAGTTTAGTGAGCCATAAAGTTAAAGTTGCAATATTCAAGTGTGAATTTATGTATTCGGCCAATAAAAAAATACTAGGACCTTAAACGATACAGATACAGGAGATTGCATAAGAGCAAAAAGACAAAATTCACCAGTTTACTTAGAGGAGAAATGTTTTTGATGGAACAGTTGTCTTATCTTAGTTAAAACAAGACTGTTATATGAGAAAAGGAGAGAATGATTACAACAAGAACAATAAAAGTAAAGCACTCCAATCATAGACACATAAAAAAATGCACTATTGAAAGATCGAGAAGCAAGAACTTACGACTTACGAGGATGCCACGATAATTCTACATGCAAACTCAGCAATTATGAGGGTATTAAGCTTCTTTTAGGCTTGGATTCACATAGGATTCTATCCATTAACTTGATGGATTCTCAAGTCTTCTCCGATGGAAAAAGAAAGGAGTACAGATAGGAACTTAATTATTCAACCTTTCGAATAAGCGGACAAAGTCATGGTTAACATGTGTTCCCGAAACTAATAAATTTTGAAAAGGGGTTAAGTCACTTTATGTCTGAAAAAGAAGCTGGATCTATTGAACATCTTTTATTGCAATGTTCTTCAGCTAGAAAGTTATAGAAGTAGGCTTACTCATCACTGGAATTTCCTGGATGGCTGCCAGGTTGGTAACTTGGTGTGCTTGCGAAAGGATAAGAACAGTAGCATACCTTTGATCCCAATCATTATTATGGGTTGTAAGGAGTTAAACGAATAGCTTTAATTGTGAAAATTTGTCTTTATTTTTCTCTGGGATGTATGGCTCTACAATTCAGTCTTTTGGTTTAGCAGGTAAATACTCTGTGGAGGCACAAACTATATTCAACTTTTCTAATTTTTGACTGGGAAATTACTTTCCTTTTGTACAAGGTTTGGCACTCTTCTATGATATCTTTTATTTTTCATAATTTGAAAACTGAAAAAAAATAAGAAAGAAAGAGCGAGAGAAAAAATGAAATTACTTCAAGATAAATAAACCAGAACACCATACCTTATCTTCAATAGAAGGGCAGTATCTAGGCCCCTTAGCTTCAATCCACCCTCCATAAGTGGGAGTTTCATGCAAGTTCTCCTTTATAAGCTGATGAGTGATTTTGTTAGTGCGTGTCAGATAGCAACACATTTGTTCCCTTTCAATGTGTACATCAGGATCAAAACTAAACCAGCTGACCTGTCAATTATCCACTGACAATCAGCATACAACCACAAATGTTAAGTAGCTAATAGTAAATACGACCGTGATTTCTTCATCCAAACAAGATCTGAATTCCATAGGACCAATTACATTCAGAGGAATTGTTCTGTTTCAGCATAATGAAGTCATAACAAATATATCTAACATCCTGCCAATCTGGGAGCTCCATATCTTGGAAATATATAAAGCTTCCAACTAACTAGCACCTTTCAGGACAGTATAAGATGGATGTCATTGATATGGAAGTGATTTTTCATTTATGCAAAAGTTACCATGCCTAGTGATAGATATGTTACTAAGCAGACAAGGAGAGCCAAAATCCGATTAAAATTTGATGGGGCACCAGAGACAAGGTACTGGTACTAGATGTGCTATTGTTGCAATAGAAAAACAACATAAACTCTGATTTTCTAATCTACTTGCATAAGCAACTCTGAAGAATCATTTGAAATCAAGAATTATTAGAACCTAATCAACATAACATACTTATGAGATTAAATAGAAGGACCTCTTCATCCCCATGCTGAGGTTCCAATCCTGAAAAATCTACAGTACGAATATCCACTCTTGCTGGAGTCCCAGTTTTTAATCGATCAGTTTCAAACCCAAGGGACTGCAAGTTCTCAGTGAGTCCCTGTGAAGATGACTCACCAGCTCTTCCTGCAGGCATAGAAGTTCTGCCAACCCAGATTTTGCCGCTCATAAAAGTTCCAGTTGTGAGAATAACAGAAGGAGCATAGAAATTCATCCCAAAAAAAGTGCGGACACCTTCCACATTGTCATTCTTTCCTAGTAAGATATCTGTTACCATTGCCTCTCTGATAGAAAGGTTTGGAGTGCTGAAATGCAAGCAAATCATAATGATTAAAAAATAGAAACTCAAACCTTCACAATTTTAGACTACATTGAAAGAAGCTAGTGAACGGAAAAATAAAGATCACAGTTTAACTATTGAATTGTATTTGAGCAATGGAGAAAGCCTTCTATTAAAAAAAATAGAGGAAGAGTGGTGTAGATTATATATTAGTGGAACGGAAAAATAAAGATCACAGTTTAACTATTGAATTGTATTTGAGCAATGGAGAAAGCCTTATCTATAAAAAAAATAGAGGAAGAAGGGTGTAGATTTGATATATATATATATATATATATATATATATAGGTAATATAATATATTATATATATATAATATATATAAATTATTTAAGTAGGCATGTGGGTACAGTGTTCGTTTTCATACAAGACATAACGAGAAGAATATCCCCCTTTTTTCTTAAACCATATATATAAAATTAAGGTAGGCATGGTAATGTTCGTTTTCTACAAGACAAACGAGAAGAATATCCCCCTTTTTCTTAAAACCCAACATATGGATTCTTAAGATCAACATTTTATTAACCAAAGCATCAAAAAGGTGAATGGTTCTAATATTTTTACATTTTTATAAAGAAAATTCATCCAAAAAGTACCATTCATCATATCTAGGAGAGTCTTTTGACAGCGCATGAGATTAGGGATCAAAATCTGGTTCAATAAGTGGTTCACTAAAACAGCCATTTCAACCATTTAGAAGCCGTATTTGACAGAAACTTTAATCTGAGTCTATGCTTCTTCACTTCTCCAATTGCCCACAATATTCAAAATCAAGCATAAGTTGTATAAACGGAAGGGACTACTAAAGCTCAAACATCAACACAGCCATGTGCCAGTGCTAGGTTTTTGTGTTCAGTCAACAGCTGCTAAATTCAACTGAAAAATTGATGGCATGACGTTTTGAGTCAGCAAATTTGAATCCCATAAAGAAATTCAGATCACATGTTAAAATTGGACAAAGTAAAGTGAGGGAAAAGATGTCCCAATGCACAAAGCTTTTCAGATTGCAAGCAATGGGGAGAATGAGATGTGCGTAGCATTACTTCACGTCACAAGGAGGAGGTCTCAGTGATTGGAACCCATGATGTCCCAGTCATAATGAAGCAAATTCAATACTGAACCAAGGCCCACAATCGGTCAAACAACTAAATTAAAATCCAAAAAAATGAATAAATGAATTGTGTAGTCCTAACAGGTCTAAAGATCACAATATTTATCATAAAATCGTCATGTTGAATCCACACTTTTCAGAATCCTCTTTTCCAACCCATCACACTGTTTTCTTTGTTGTCTACAATATCACAGAAATTATTCTTCAAGGGCAACTTTCTGTGGAGTAAAAAAATATAGTAATACTCAAAAATGTGTTTTCCATGAAGATGGAAACATAGATAACACAAAAGAAACATACAGATTTCGTCTTGTTGCCCCTTAAGTATACTCTTTTCTTTCCCCCTTCTTATTTCCCAAGTTTCATGGACTACAGTAAAGAAACTATCAGATTTCGTGATAAAAAGAAGAGCTCTTGACCTTTTATTTGTCAGAATCACTTGCTTGAATTTCTTATTTTTCATAATTCTAGTAGTAAAATATTGTTAAAAATTGGTTTGAAATAGGATACTTATGATGTTGGCAACAGTTGATTCTCTGTAAGTAAACTATGAGGTTTGTGTTTAGAAGCATATGTTCAGAATAGCACACTAACTCAGTGATTTGTCTGCTCTCTTCAGTGTGGTTAAATAGAGACAACAGAAAACTAACATATTACCAAGTTTAGTCATGGTAAACATAAGCCGGATTGTTCACTTACTCTACAACACAGATGATATCATAATCAAATTTCAAAATAAAAGAAGCTATACTAGCAGTCATAATTCGTTCTGGACATCATAATTGACTCATTTAACCTTAGAAAAAAGTTTGTCCCAAAACTGCACGGCACTGACATTGCTAGCAGCATAATTATTAAAGAGGCAAGCCTGAAAGCGGTCGCGCCTCAAATTTTGCAGACGGGCAACCTCACTGAACAGTTACCTAGGATTTTCTTCAATAAAAAGCTGTCCAGGTGGCATCATCCTCACCTCCTACAATCCAGCCTCCAGCCAAAAACTATTCAGATATCTCTTTGTCAATTTGTCTTCCTATATTTGCTGTATATTTTCTTTCTTCCTTTTGTTGTCCATGTCGTCAATTGTTCTCCCTTTTTCTTAACTCCAATATCTTAAAACATAAGCTGCTATGCTTCCAATTTTTTTCTGATTTATCTGTGTTCTTTTTCCATATTTTTCTGATTTTTTTTTTCATTTTTTTTTTTTTTCTGATATCTTAAAAGATAATTTTCAGAGCTATGTGTTTTTCAATTGTTTTTAGTTTTTGCACCTCCCTTGCTCAGGCACGTGCCTTCACCCAAAGGCTAGCACCTAGGCTCCAACAGCCCTTTGCCCATTGTGTTTTTAATTACTATGGCTAAAATCACATACACCTACAAACTCTATATAAAAAATTAAACAATGTACCAAAGCTTACTCTCCCTTTATGTGTATGAAAACATCACAAATTCCAATGGAATTTAATTAACCAGCATGAGCACATGGTCAGCAGCTTCTTAAGGTAAAGAAGAATGGCATTTTTTAAAAAAAAAAAAATCAGTGTTAAACCCAAAAAAAACCAGATTCTTGTACATCAAGCAAAAAGAAATACTATAACCATATTATCAATTTGTAAGATAATATCTACATGTGTTTTCCTTGCCAAAATTTTACACAAGCAAGGAGATCAAGAAAATTTAAATTCAAAGACTTCAAGAATTTAGAATTAAGGTCCACATTTCGTGGGGTAGTTATTTCAGATATTATAGTAACTGTCTAATCCTTCTAGAATTATATTAATATGCCTATTTAAATAACTAAGTCATTAGTCAAGACTTTTAGGTCCAATGGACAATTTTGCATTTTCAGCTTTCTCGGAAAACCCGTACCTATTTCTTTAGGGGTCTTTTCTTTGTTTTGAGTCTTATTTTTGTATCCTTGTTTTGGATAACAGTATTCCTTCTACATTATTTTGAAAGTTCGAAAACCTTAAGGACTAGTTTTGAAGTCAACTTAAATTAACTAAATGACTTCAGGTTAGTTTTAAATCTATGAAATCACCTCAATTTTGAGAGAAGTCCATATGCAACAAAAGATATTAGCAACATCAACTCAACACCTTTAAAATATGAGACTGGATAATATTCCTATAAGCTACAACAACACAACTCGATAATATTTCTATAAGCTACAACAACACAATTACATGCATATATGAATTAGCTAACAAAGAAAATTAAATTTGTTCGCTTGCCTTTCAACTATCATTTTCATTTGCATAGCATACTCCCTTTTGTCCGTTTGTGCACGCAAAGCTCGAACTGCAGGACCTCTTGAAACGTTCAGCACACGCTTTTGTAAATAGCACCTAAAGCATGAAATTGAAATAGTACAGGTTAAGTTTACAATCATATCATCTTTATTTATTCTATATTATTTACTTATGGTATAAGTCCTCATGCGGTAAACCTGAAAACCATTGCTCAACTAACTTTCTGCCGATCAACATCACTAATCCAATACAAGCAAAATGCTCCATAATCCAAGACAGGACATAAGAACAAATCAGAACAATCTCAACCATAGTTAGCCCACTCCAATCATCCAAACCCATAATATTGATGAAGCTAATGCAAAGGCTACAAACTTAGGAATGGAGAATAAATGACCTTCAATCTTTGTGTACTGACCCCAAATCGAATTGTTAGGGATTTAGAAGTGAAAGAAATCTGAGAGCTCTTTCCTGGATCCGAAAGAGTACATGGGTTCTCCCCTTTTAATTGGTGATAACCAACTGTTACTCCTTTTAAAACCATGAAAATCAAGAAATTTCATTTCTTTTTAAGTGACCAGAAAATTTTCTAATGGAATATTACCTAGGAAATGCAGGGAGTTACTTTTCAGTAACTTTCTTAATTTTCATTAGGAAAAATTCATCTAGGAATTTATTTGCTTCTTGTTTTGCAAGTTTAGTAATCTTTGTTACTTTGGAGTCAGTATCCCTTGTTTACTAAGAACATGAGGTTCCTAGCATATAACTTAGTTATTTTCTGAGGTAACAAGAAATTCAACACGGATTTAGTTTAGAACACATGCGTAATTGTTTTCTCTTTCCTCGATCCTCTCTTCTTCCATTTCTTTCCCAATCCCTCTGCTGATACAGTACCTAAGTATTAATGTACTCTCAACAGCCACCAGTTTCTCTACTTTTCTTACATTTATCAGCTATAAATCCAATTATTTTGGATAGTGCAAATTCATTCTCACTAATAAATCCAAGGAGGCAATCTCAGAAGAAAGGAGGCTACCCTCACTGTATGACATTTTTGGACAAGGATGTTTTACATTCTCATATTCATTCCACATGATCCACGATCTGTGCTTGATGTAATGTAACCAAAGCAGATATTAGCACTGCCCCGTCGAATAGCATACTCAAATTCTATAGATCATGCATCTCACACCAACAACCGCCAAGTCACGCAAGATTAGACCAAGTATTTTAATATTAACTAAAGGATATTTTTGGACATTACCTATCTGCAACTTTTCCGATTTCACCACCAAGAGCATCTACTTCATGAACTAGTTGAGATTTTGCAGGTCCACCCACTGCTGGGTTGCAAGGCTGTATGGAACATTTGGTTAGAATATTTTTGAACACTATCTTGCTTTACTCATTTGCATGTGTAAGTGATAGTTATGTGCACACTATCTAAGGTATAGAAATTAACATACTACAAGATTCTTAAGAGAGAAACAGTTTGCAGTATCATTTATATACATATGCATCTATGTCTTCCAATCAAATGACTAATTAAATACTAATGCTTAGGACAATCTCGTTATTGTCATATTATTAACTTTTACTGCATGGATTTTGCTCTGTCTAGAAAACAATAAAAATATTTTGTGTCCGCATGTAACTGAGAAATTTTGTCCCAAAATTGAATAGGACCATTCTTTCAACTAAGACTAGCACTAATAAAATTGCTGGAAATGATAACCTGCCATGCTATTCGATCTATATTTAGGGTGAGAAGAAGAGTTTTTGCCCCCAAACGAGCAGACGCAAGGGCCGCTTCACAACCTGCATGTCCTCCTCCGACTACAATGACATCATATTTTTCATCATTTGTTCCAGCGTAACTACTCCAATCTGCAAAATGTTGAAAGAAGGAATATTATTTCATTTACTGATTCAAAAAAAAATCCAATAAAAAAAAAAGCAATAACAACACCTAGGCAATGCATTGCTTTATCTAAACTAATAAGAGGGAAGTCACAATTGATCCAAGATATATAAACTCAACGCAACAAGGCGTTAAACCCAAACTAGGAGGAGTGGGATATAGAATCTACTTCTTTCATTCCACTAAGTTAGGGTTACATTTTAGAAAGATCTGGAGATAATAGAACCTTTCATGCTATTTCCCTACATATCTACTTTCATCTAAAGCTTGCTTTCTTATCAGTACATCAAGGTGCCCCACTTTCCATACTGGTGTAGTGGTTGGGCTACAGTATGATTGTAATATACCATCTCAATCTAAACTTATGCAACTTCAAAATGATCTAACAGCTGGAAAAAATTTAAAAATGCTTGAATTCACAATGATGATAATCAATAGCTGAAGGATTCATGGTTCTTGTCAACACTCAACACTATGTGATCACATCAATGTTAGTCAATGATAATTATGATCACAAGAGCTTAAAGATGCTGGAATGGGTAGAAGCATTATGTAGCAGAAATCGTGAATGATAACTGAAGGTTGAGCACATTCCAAAGAATGAGTTATGCTTTTGAGAAAAATAAGTTGTTTTCGAAATTACAATGGTAAATGATATATTTGTCAAATCAATATTTTAATCGAGAATCAAAATCATTTTTTGAATTGAGAATATAATAAAACTGTAAGATTCAATACAAATTCTCAAATCGTATTAAAATAAACAACTATATCCACATTAAAAAATGAGATATATCAAAATTTGGCATATTTTGACAAAGTCGCAAACTTTAGATTCTTTCACTTGGAAGACATTTACCAACAACACAACATCCGATCCTTTTACAAATAAAGTGCTTTAGAGTGAAGAATATCATAACTTTGGCACTAATCTAAACTAAATAAGCTTGCCTAAATATTTGACTTTGCCTTTATATGCTTCAGCGTATCACTACTACAAGGCTTGAGCTATTCAGTGACAGCCCATTATATGCTTCTTTACAGTCTGTAGCAATAAACAGTAAGGAAGAAGTCGAGGATATCTACTCTGACAGGCTCAAGGCTTACGAGAAACCTCCTGACTTTTCAATTGTATGTGCTTTAACGTATAAAAATCTTTAACTGGCTACTCTTCAAGCAGCACTACCTCACTACCTCCTTGAAAGATGCCTGGTTAAATAATGCATTTGGAGCTACAGACAACTAACTAATCTTAGGGGCGACATTTTATACAGATTGTAATCTAATCTCACCATCACTTTGCAGAATATATACGCTAAACAAAAACTGGAACAGCACGACCTAATAGCGAGCACCAAAAATAATAAATTGTAAAGCTTTTTCCACTTCAATTTTTTTTACCTATAATTCCTGTCACTTTACTTACTCAGAGACCGGAAACAATTTCCAAAAATATCACTTGACAAACAAAATTGTTAAGAATTTAAAACAATTATAACTTAGCGAACCGCAAAACTAAACTAAGAACAAAAACCGAACCCATAACAGATTGAAGATAAAAGCAAGGAATATAGAGTTGAGGGAAACCAGGAGAGCTCGAAGCGGAGGCAACAGAGAAGCCGCGATGGAAGGTGCGGTAACCAAATAAACAATGAGTTCGGTCGAAATTCCGGCGGAAGGAGGTGGCACAAGATTTGCGGAGAATGAGGGAAGAGCGAGTGAAAAAAGTAGTGAAGAGAGGAATGTGGTGGCACGTAACGCGAGAGAACTGGAGAGTGAGCGTTGCCATTATTTTGCTAATTGTTACTGTGGTGGAGGAAATCGGGACATGGTAGATGAGAGCCAAAGCAATCGAGTATTGATCTTTTTTTCTAGGGCTGGTAGTGGTAGACGTGCACAAAATGCGGTTATTTTACCAAGCCGAATCCAACCGAGCCTCTAGAGTAAAATATGACGGTAAAACGGTAAACCGTACAGGAAGATTGAGAGAGATGCAATAAAAAAGCACGGGCAAGTAAGTAAGGGTGAGCAATCCGCGAATATAACCAAAAATTCAAACCGAACTGAATAATTTGGTTTGGTTCGGTTGCTAATAAATTAGTTTTGATTTAAATGGCTTAGTTATAAATGTTAATTTTGTTTCTCGGTTATGGTGCAGTTAGTTTGAAAAAAATTTCGATTAATCCAAATTAACCATATTAGTACTCAAGATATTTTTTTTCTCTGATTTTTTTTGTCAAAACATTGTGTTTTAACCCATATTAAAATAAAATAAAGCGTACAAATTATATTTATATATTTTTTCTAACAGTTAATAATAATATGGTATAACTTTTGAGATCATTGATAAAAAACGCCATACTTAATTGGTTACTAACTGTAATTTTGTAATTAGAAGTTTAACGAATGTTTTTTTTTAATGTTAATTATATTAATTGTTATTTGGATGGTTGGATTTAAATATGACTACCTTTGTAATTTTTGTTTGGACACTTGTGACTTGTTGGATTAATTAATTAATTTTATTATTTTTATTTTTATTCTATACAATTTATAAATTTATAAGCATATATATATAAATATTTTAAAAGTGCAAACTGTGAATCGGAAGACAGTAACATTTATATTGAAAAATTTTGGATTTGGATATCTTCTCATAATCGGTTTGGATTAACCAACTGAAAATACTAATCCGGTTATTCAAACGGTTACGGTTTTTTATAATAAAACCGCATATTATTGGGTTTGGTTACTTTTGGTTTTATATTAAATATGGTTTGGATTGGATAATGGATTTATAAAATTTTCTTATATTCAAATTGAGTTATTCGATTTGGGTTAGTTCAGATTAACAGAATGCTCACCTCTATGGGTAAGCAATTGGGCGATTTGGTTGGAACTAAAAAGCCAAAAATCAAAAATATTGTCTTTAAAGTAACCAATTGAGACCGAATTTGTTTGGTAATTGAATCTGACCAAATCGCAAATTGTAGTTTGATTCGGTTACCAAATTTCCTAATCTTGTTGAAGCCACAAATTCAATATAGAAGCTACAAATCCCCTAATAAAATTATTTCAATCGTTACTTCAACCTAGTCATGTACTCGCAAATTGTATAATTTTTTATTTTTTAATTAAATTGAATGTACTTTTTAAGAAATTATTGTAATTTTATATTTTTATTGTTTTAATTTAAATAATTTACTTATGTATTTTTATTAAACTAGTATTAGAACCCGTGCAATGCATGGAGTAATATTAAATGATGAAATAATATTTTATAATATCATTCAAAAATAACAAAATTATATAATAAAATGATTGTGAAATGCATTACAAAATTATATCTCATTTTTATTTTTATTAAATGAATGTATTTTTAAGAATTATTGTAATTTTATATTTACTTGTTTTATTTATTTAAATAATTTCACTTATGTATTTTTTTATGTAACTAGTAATTGAGAACCCGTGCAATGCATTGGAAGTAATATTAAATGATGAAATAATATTTTATAAATATCATTCCAATTTTTTGAAATAAAAAAATTTATAATAATAAATCTGTAATCGATTGTGAACATGCATTACACAGAAATTATATCTCATTGAATCATGCTAAAGAAATTTACAATCCTAATCTGGTATCTTTTTAAGTATGCCAGCGATAGTTTTGAGCCAAAATAGTGGCAATTAGCCAAAAGTCATTGTATGGTTATATGATTAGGGAATGTCAACATGAGTTTGCGCATCTAGATTTGACACAATTCCGCCTAACACGGACGCCCCCGATGGACACACTGATTAGCGGTCAATAACGAAAATGAGCAAATTTATAATTATATGAAATTTAAACCAAATACGAAGCATGACAATGAAAATTAAACGCAGGTGACATCCCGGAGGCAGACTTAGCGTTTAAACTAGTGTAATTATCATATGCAGAGTTAAGTGGTCGTGTTGACTCATATTATAACACAATGTAACCCGTCTTAATATTATTATTTTCGTAACAGGTTTAATAGGCTCGGGTGGTTGGAGCTTGTATTATAAGAACCAACTTAACTGCCTTATAGGATACTTTTTTAAATTTTAACACTAGTTAATTCACTCAATAACTTTATAAAATCAAATGTGTCTCATTTTACTATGAAAGAATTCACTTAATTGGCTCCCCAAGATTGTAATAATAGGAACATATAAAAAGTACCATCCCACCGATGCATAAGAATATTTGTAGAATCAGGCCTCTTACTTACATCCCTGGAGTAGGCGTTCGTGCTGATATAACTATCCTTTCTAAAAATTTAACCGCTGATTGGACGCTCTTTAGCTCCTTAATAACGGATCACCGTTTGCTCTAGCCAAGGAATGCCTTGTGTCCCGTCTTCAGCAGTCGAACGCTTTAGTTGGGGAGTTTTTGGGCCTGCAGAGAATCCAGTTATGGGGGGTTTTGGGCGTGGACTTTGCTTCTCATGTTTACCACTTCTGACTTTGTATGTTTGCTCTTTTCCAGGTTTTTGAAGGGGCATCTCCGCCACAATATTATCTCCTCCGCTACATCTGGACATTTATATTTGCTATCAATAATTTTTATCTGTATTGATTACAATTAGCTCTGCTATAGTGAGACGAATATTTTTTTCATACACTCATGCGTAAGCAAACCAAGGTCATTTTTATTCCTAATAAAAATGAAGTGTTTTTTCTAATTTAATTTTTACGCATCTCGATTGAAAAAAGAATTTAGTGTTTTGTTTTTTATTTATGATTTAAATTAAAAGTGATTTATTTATTTATTTGAATAATTAATATATTTACTTATTTAAGTGTAATGTGTCCTCGCGTGTGAACATGCCTTACTCGTCGTGAAATGATCCTACCATTTTTAAAAATTGTTCGTATTTCATAATGTTCATTCTGAGTATCTCAAATAGTCCCGTTGTCCGTGCAACCTAGACTTTTAGTTCTATAGAGACTGATCCCTTTTTACTCAAGTACACCAAGCTAATCATCGGGGTCCCGCGTTGCACTAAGGGTTTTTTTTATTACCAATAAAAAATGAAGTGTTTTTTTTTTAAAATTTATTTGTGTCCAATTGAATACTACAGAACTTAAGTTCTCTTTTTTAATTTTTCACCTCTCTCAGATTGTTATATAAATCGATTATTTATTTATTAAAAAGCATTAACATGCTCTATTTACGTGTAGCAAGTGTTCCTAGCGTTGGAATGTTTTACTTTTTATAATATTAATCATATATCGTGTTATTATTCCAATCTATATGATTTTTTTAAAATATGTTTTTATATATCTTATTTTTTAATATTTAAATATAACTTATTATTCACAACTTTTTTACAAAGCGTGTTGGAAGGTATTTATTTAAATTTTTTGTAAGAAAGATTAAATTTATATTAAATATATTTAAAACGCTAGAGATATTATCTTTTTTATAAATTATTATGTTATAAATGAGATTTATTCGAATAAATATGAAAAACAAATTGATGCGTTTTTCAATTCTAACTCGTCGCTAAAATTTATTATTATAATATCACATTAACATCTTTCATTCTATACATCTAAAAATATCAAGATGTGGGCCAGAATTAAATACTTATCTTAACAAGACTCGGTATCCATATTATTTAAGTTACAGAATCACCACAGGGTTCTGCTTTTATAATACAACCTACAATACATATTGAATGATGAAGGAGGGTAGAAAATTTATACTTTTTGATATATTGCTCAAAAATAATAAAAATCTTAAAACTATTTACTCGTCACAGATTAATGTATTAATTCAATTGATATACTTCAACTATGATTTTTTCTTTGAAATTCTCATATATATTTTAAAATTTTTTTGTAAATTAAGATGACAAACAACCGGAAATATTTTTTCAAAAAATTTTCATCATTTAAAAATTTAATCATAAACTCTCCCACCTTTTATGAAAATTAGGCCATCGGGCGCAGAAAATATTTTGAGTTATTTACTAAACTCAGTGACCTGTAGACCAGATTTTTGAATTATTATTGAAACACAAAGTGAAAACTCTGTAAACTAAGCAAGAATATTACCAGAAGTCAAAATCACTAAAATGGACTAAACGATTCGAATTGAACTAAAAAATAGCCCTAAGAAAAACTCATAGCCGCTTTCTTCTTTCTTTCTTTTTTTTTATCTCTCCTTCTTCGCTCTGCTCCCCTAGGAGCGCGCCGTTGCCCCTCTGTCGTCTTTCTGCCACACTAAAGAGAGGGGTGGCGGTCGACTTCCCGTACAGAGCCACTGGTACCCTTTATGGTTCAATCCATACAGTAGATTGCTCTCAAGGGTGCAATCGAGACTGTTCGTAGACAGTTCTCATTGGCTTGATCTCTGGCGATATTAGGACGACTCAGCGACTGATGAAGCCTTCAAAGTGAGTCTTGGCTCAAGGGTCAATTTTCTAAATTTCGGAACTTTCTGAGTGATCCATAAAAAGAAAAACGATACTACAAATTTAAATTTAATATATTTCATGTTGCTATTTATATTATTCTATTGTTATGCAGAATACTTAATTGGAAAGTAAACAAACGAACAAGGCAAGTTCCTAGCAAAATCATTCTGTGTGAAGATTCCGACGAGAACCTATGGATTAGGGGTGGTTGTTGGCCGAGGGCTACAGGATCATTGAGGATATTGAGATTGAAATTTCATCTAAAAGTGAGTCACAAAAAACTAATCTTTCTCCGATCATCAATTTTTTCGAAAATTAGATTCTTCAAAAATTATAATCGCTGTCGTCATATATAACTTGTTTTTCGAAAATCCTTGAAAAGAATGAAAGATTCCAATTCCCTAAAATTTAAAGAGATTTTGTCTGCTAATGATTTTGTAATAAATCATATGCTTTCTTTTCGGAA